ATTATACAGTGAAAATTTCAGATCAAATTTCAACTATTAACCTTGTCGAGATCTGGACTTACTGATCAACCTTTATATGTGAACATGTCAAATAGCTTTTGTATGCATGAAGACAGACATAAAAAAAAGACTGCTTCCCCCTCCTCAGTTATTATGCAGAATTGTTGCAGATATTCCTTTAGCTGGACGCCTGTATTGCATTTACTACTGTCTCATCTCGTGTTTGGTAAGAATTATTGTAGCAGTACTGATCAATGAACCAATTACCTCTCCTACCGACTTTCATCTGGGGATTTTCAGTTTCATGAGTTCTTGTGAATGAAGGTGAAAGTTAGATTTGTTCAGAGAAACAGAAAATCAGTAAGAAGACTTTGCTGAATAAAATATGTGCGTAGACCTCATTGAATAGCTACCTATAAGTCAGAATACTGGTTTTCATTTGATCCCCAGAGTTGAGCAGCATCAAGCTTGGTCAGTACATGGATGGGGGATCTCTTGGGAACAGCAGGTATTGTACAGGCTGCCTGACGATTGTGTCTAGCATGAAACAGTCTGTCGCCTCTGAGTGTTGACTTCAATATCCCTGATATTGAGCACTTTATCCCGTAAATATAGCATACCTTAAAACTGTATTTCTTTTTATATATATAATCTTAATAAAAAAAGAAGAAAACCTTAAAGATTCATTCTGGTTATAATTTATTTCATAAATATCTATATATTCATCTCTTCAGACCAAAATCTCTTTTTCAGTCTGAAGAGTTAAAGATATTATAATCATCAAGAAATATGATGATTATAATAATACTCCTCCTTTGTAGTCTACATTGAGTTCTCCTTGGATTAATATCCTCCTTGGAATTATCCCTGCCATATATATATATATATATATATATATATATATATATATATATATATATATATATATACTACATACTCAAAAAAAAAATTAAAAAAATGATTTTGTGCCTTTCTGAAGAAGTCCTGGAAGTTTCATTAAAATCTGACAGTTATCTTTCTTTTTTTTTTTTTTTTTTTTTTTTTTTCTCATGTATTTCCAAGTCGATGTGTTTTTACCATTAAAAAAAAAAAATGTTGACAAAAAAAAATTCCTTTCATTTTTCCTCTTAATAAATATTTGATTATTATAATTTACATTTTTCTTTTTTTTTTTTTTTTTTTTTTAAATCATGTTTTGGACATTTTTTTATTTTATTTTATTGTTTTTCATTGTGTATCTTTTCTTAATGAATTTTTGGAGGAAAATGATTAACAAATTTTTCATCTATTAAGAACAATTTTAGGAAAATCTATGACAAAGTGGCAAAATTTTTTTTTCATGTAACATGTTTTGTCCTTCAACAGACTAAAGTTATGTTAAAGTGATGACACATGTGGATGAAGGTGAGAAGATGTTGAACAAAAAAAAATAATTTTCAGCATCCACTCTCCATGTGCATTTGCAATCACATTAATGTAAACATCACTTTAGTCTGAAAGGATGGGGCACATTCACACAAAAAAGTTTTTCCCAGATCATCATAGATTTTCCTTATATATATATATATAATAAACAATAAAATCCCAAATCACCTCATATGATGCTGTCCATACAGGGATGGATAAGACAGACGACTGATATCTTTGTCTGCCAAAATAGACAATTCCCCATATGAGATGATTTTGGATTTTATTGTTTATTAATTTTTTGCACTGTCATTATAAATACATTGAGCTCTTTTTGTAGATCAGTTTTAATATTTTATATTACTAGGATCTACTTGGATATATACCGATGGATTTATTATATAATATATATACTGAGTGGGTAAATATAAGTAGGTATACGAGCAATTAATGTAATATATATATATGTGTGTGTGTGTATACACACACATTTCAAACTATAACAATCTGATCACATTGAAACAATACTCGTTTAGTAAAAAAAAAAAAAGTATATTCTTGTTTACTAAATTTTGTCTTCCCAGACTTTAAATTATGGCACTTTGTCTTCTTTATGTTTTGACTGACTTTTCAACGGCTTGATGAATATTCGTGAATGTTCTCAAATTTAAAAGCTTTGATAAACCAATGACAACCTTGCTCTTGAATATAAACACGTGCAACAAAATAAATCCTACATTTGCTTTGATAAAGTCCCTCAGAGGATGAAACATGTCCGCTAAGAATAGTTGTTCCCCATCTTTTTATTCATATATGGACTCTGACTGATGCTGAAATGGTCTCTCTAATCATGAAAGAATTTTTACAAACTTTGTTCAATTATTCAGATTTTTTTTTAATGTAGTGCGGGGGGGGGTCAAGAACTTTTCAGCATACCCATTGATGAAACCAGTAATATTCTATGTTGCCTGCTTTTGTTCTTGAACCCTTGCCACGCATTGGTTGGCTAACATGAATTCCGTCTGAATGGAGGTGCATAATGGTGCTGCTACTGCAGTTACAGTAGCTGTTTGGCCCAAAGCTATCAATAATTGCTATTATGACAGTTGTCTCTCAGTCTGCCTTTATTTATGAAAATAACCAATTCAGCCGGATTGGCCCAAATTGTGCCACTCCTGGATTGCTGGATCAATTTCTGATACCAAGTAGCATAGATATTTCTTTACCGAGTCCAGCATCTGTCTATATTTCTGAGATGAGGTATTATGTACACTATTTACATTATTCGGACTATCATCCTCATCTTTGTTGCAATATTTATCACAACATTTCAGCTGTTGTATGCTCTGGCCTTCTTCAGGTGGTTGGAATGTCGAACTGAACCCTTTATTTTGCTCGCAGGGGTAGACTGTTCTAGTTCCACATGCCATGTCTAATGGATGTCAGTTATCAGTTATCTCCTATTAATTCATCTCTCCAAGTTCTTCACTGCCTTAACCAAGTATCGAACTCACAACTCTTTTGTCCTGTCATTGATTTAATCATTTTTATCCACTGTGCCATGTGTGGTTAAGGACACATGGCACAGTGGATAAAGGTGTTGGTTAGATTCAGGCTACATCATAACTGACATCTATTAGACATGACATGAAACGTTGTGATAAATATGGCAACAAAGATGAGGACAGTAGTCCGAATAATGTAAATAGTGTACATAATACCTCATCTCAGAAATATAGACAAAACTGAAGGGCCGAAATGTTGTAATAAATGTGGCAACAAAGATGAGGACAATAGTCTGAATAATGTAAATAGTGTACATAATACCTCATCTCAAAAATATAGACAGAAACTTATGTTTACATTTTACAATTTTAACAGTGAAATTATGGGACCTAGCTGCCAGTCTAGTACTGAGTTTAAATTCATCAAGTCGGGGTACCAACAAGGAAAGCTCCTCAAAACAATTACTGGGAAAATATTTATATAAGAAGCAGAAGAATAGGAGACAGAAGATGACAATTGACATTTCCTTTAAATTTACAAGAAGCCAGAATAATTCCCTAAGCAAGAAAAACTATTACAGCAGTGGGAAAGTAACTAAAGTTGCCAGGTCAGGACTTATAATGTTACCAATTCTTCTTTATATTTTAACAATCCTGGCATCTCGGCTTCAGTTACTTTTCACTGTGGTAATGTAGCTTCCTGGTGCCTTTTTTCTATAAATACTTTTTATGGTAATTGTTCTGATGAACTTTCCTCTATGGTACTTAAACTTTATGAATTTAAGCGCAGTACTAGGTTGACGGTGAGGTCTCGTCAATTCAAAATTGAATTGGCTAGATGTAACTGAGTTCTATGCTAACAGTTTCTTTTCTCTCACTTCTTGTTTGTGAAACTCTCTTCTGGCACCATGATTTTCCAGCCAATTTTGATCTTCAAGAATTTAAATGCAATGTCAATCATTATCTTCTGTCTTCTTATTTACTCTTCTCTTGTTCTCGTTCCTTATTAATGTTTCTCTTTTTACTTATTCTTTCACACTTAGTGACCTTTTGTGTCTTAGTGGCTTTGCTGCCTTGCATTAGGTGATATGATGAAAAACACCAAACCAATATTCAATGCCTATAACTTTGTTTGCGTACATTTATTTGGGTTCAGTGTTGATTTTGTCTGAATGGTTGTGATCAAGCACTTTCAATGATGCTTCTGCTCATTTTCAAAATCAAGATTTATATGGTGATGTTATCTCTCCCTACTCATATTCAAATACTTTTTTTTTTCTGCATTGAGCCAGAAAAGGAACTGTCTTGTTCACTATAGAATCATTGTTCTTAATCGTTGAGCCAGTAGTAAGTAAACTTTACTTTGGCTCAATGTTGAGGTTAAAAGGAAGAAATTTCTTTTTTCTTGTGTTTCCTTCCTTCATTCATTCTTAAATTTGCTTTTCCTTTATCCACCCCCACCTCTTCACCAACCCACTTACTGCTCCCTTTTTAACCAGTTTCCATGGTAACTGTTACCTATTGATAGAGACAGAGAGAAGGGGGAGAAATATTCATCTTGTCCAAATTCTCTCTTTCTCCTGCCCTCCCTTTATCCGCTAGCAAGATGAGGAGGAGGAGGAAGCCATAAGAACTGATACAGGAGAGACACACGAACTGTTTACTGCTATTTAAAATGAACAGTGTTTCTTCTCAAAGAGAGAAAGAAAGATCCCTGGATTAAAATAGGTTATTGTGTATCTTATCCCTGAATAAATGTGTGTGAATATCGATGCACACGCAGTTCAAGCCGTGAAATGTTTATACACAGTAGTCTGGCATCGTAGTCTATTTGAGGTCTACATGCCAAAACAAGCGTTTTGTCTTCCCTCCCCTATTACAAAGCAGATTCATGTATTCCAGCTCCCTCCCACCTTCAATATAACCTTACACACACAACCTGCTAACACGTCCTGATTAACACACCTGTATTTTAAAAGCCTAATCACAAAGCATGAAGAAAAAAAATTGCTCAATGGTAGAACACAAAATATGTGTGTACACAAAAAAGTTACTGCTCTTATTGACATTTGCTCTAAATATATCTATATGGATTCATTGCCATCTCTCTCTCTCCTCTCTTTCACCTTGTATGTTTTATCTTTCTTCCCTTTCACTCACTCTGTATTTGTTTTCACTTTGCCTTCTCTCTCACTTCACTGTGTATATTTGTTTTTGCCTTCTTTCTCTGGCACTCTCTGTGTATGTGTTTTCTCCCTCTCTTTTCTCCTTCCTTGTGTTTATGTGTGTATATTTGTTTACTTACCCTGTGTTTCACTCTGTGTGTTTTTCTCCTTTCTCTATCTCTCTTTTGCTCTCCTCATTCTCTCCTCTATCTGAATCATAATGAACCCTGTAAACCCATATATATATATATATATATATATATATATATATATATATATATATATATATATATATATATATATATATATACTGGATGGTGTATTCTGTGAGGGAGGCAAATATAGATGAAATTGCTAATAAATCAAATTGTTGTATCATTGAGTGGATTAGGATAAATTCCAGACATCTGAATATTTACTATTATCGTCTTTATAAAGGTACTTTTTTTTACTAATAAATATAATATTAATTTGCATCTTATCATATAAAATAATTCAGGTCATATTTTATTCTAAAAGATAAAAGAAATATTGTAAATAAATTGTGTCCTCACCAATCGACTAAAGAAGTTGGATTTGATCCATTCAACATTAAAATTCAATTCAGTTTTAATTTTACAATGATGAGCCAGACTTGGGTTCATTTACTTTCCTCGGAATAAAATTTATAAGCTGTTAAGGCTTTATTTAAACTACAATCATAGCCAATTTTGCAACATTCTTCAATCAATAAGGAAGTTGGATTTTATTCTTTTCAATACATGCTTGGGTTCATCATTGTTCATCTTTTCTCCTTGTGTGTCCAGGTTCTTGGTTCTTATCCTTGTGTGTCCAGGTGTTCTGCTAAATCTGTTTTTTTGTTTTTTTTACTGGAAGGGAATTTTCCATTTTCTTTTCCTATCAGCAATCAATTCCATTATCCATCATCATCTATAATTGTACCCAATTCAGCTTCTACCAACTTTGAAATTTCTTGTCTGACTGCAACCCTCTCATCTGTCCAAAGCGAAATCCTTCAGTGTTGTTACTTGACTTTGGTAGAAGTTCCTTTCAAATTGCTTTTAAGCTGTATATTTTTTTTTGTTTAATCTCATTCACTTTCTCTTTCTTTCTATCTATCTCTTTCTCTCTCTCTCTCTTTCTTTCTCTCTCTCTCTCATACACACAGTATGTGTAATGTCAAACTGTGCACATATTTATTAAAATCTGAGATTCTTGCATCAAATAACTGGCAACTGAAACTTGCTTAAGTCATTAAGTTTTTTCCTTCTCATAGACTGGCTTACAACCAAGACTTGAGAACCCAGTCTGGATTTATGCCTTTCCCAAATAATGCAAAGAGTGAGTGTTTCACAGACTCTTTCAGAACTTGATCTTGCCTGGGTGATTTCATTTTGTGCACTGATAACCATTATAGTGATTTTAGTTACATATTTAGTTACATAACAAATAATATAAATTTTGATGCTATATTCAATTTGTTGTTAGGTATTTTTTTTATTTTCTCTTATTGTCAGCATTTTAGAATACTTTGGCTGCAATGCTAAGTTTCCTAAGTTGAACAAATTGGAGCTATTTCATTTATGCTTTGTTACCACTCTTTTTCATTGTTGTTTTTTGATCGCTTTCTTTCAGTCCTTTTGATGGGCAATAGCGAAATTCTGAAATTTAGAAAGATCTTATTCCATTTAAAAAAAAAAAGCCTGTAAAAAAGAATATTCTAAATTAATATACGACCAAAAATAAAATGCCTTTGACAAAAAAACCTTAATGATTTCACTATAATTATGTAACAATAATGTAAGAAGACAAATTTACTGTTTGTCACCTCATTGCATGGTTATGAACTATTGAGCCAAAAATATTGTGTAATCGACTATAATATGTTGTAAAATAGTTGGATATGATATAATGAATAATTTGCAGTGAAGAAAGCAATTTTTGATTTTTTGTTGAATACGGCCCTCCTCTGCCAAAACGCATTATTTAACAGGAGTAGATAGATTTGATTATTATTCAGTCCAACATCCTCATCCTCCCTAATCTTTTCCATGCAGAGATTTATCCATTGTTTCCAGTTTAGAATTGGGTTTCCAGTACATTCTAAAGTCTTCTCATTCTTTTTCACTCACAGTAGCCCCTTGCCTCTTAGTGGAGGAATTAGCAAATGCAGGTTTAATTGGAATAGAACATTTCTACTGTGAGATTTTATAAATCTTTGTATTCTCAGTATAAAACAGGTGCCACATTCTAAGATGGAATAGTTGACCTGTAGCTAGGGAGGGAAAGCAGTTCTTGTCATTGTCAAGACAAAAGCAGAAACATTGGCAAGAATAATAAGATGTCCACTCCAGTGAAGGGTCAGAGAGACCAGGTGGTATAGATAGAAAAGAAAGCAATAAAATACCAAGGGGTCTTGCAGTGTATAGGCAGAACAAAGCATCCACAATGGTTTCAGAGAGAAATGACAAAAAGGACAACCATTACTAAGAGTTACAAAGGATAGGAAGTTGTAGAGAGCTATGATTACATACATTCTGACAGGACATGGAACATAGAAGAATGGATTACACAGGCCCAGATCTACCATCTCAGCTTCCCCTCCAGGATCCAGTGGCAACATGGGGTGGCTGGTCAAAGATCAATTGCAGTATAGTGATTTTTCAAGCGTAGCTTAGATGTGGCACAAGGCCAAAAGTATGTGGCAGCTAGTGAGGATCGAACCCATTACTCAGTCGTAATTGTTCTAGTAAGACACACTTGCTAACCATTACACCACCTCAAGGTGCCCTAACCAAACCGAGCTAATATCTACAGCACTTGATTGCATTTCCTCTCTGCTGGTATTATAATGGTTATGGAGGGGCTCTCTATATTTTGGGGGCTCTGGTGTAAATGAGGACCCATGTCTTTTGGTTCCATAAAACTTGATATTTCCTGTAATAAATTCGTAATAAATATTATTATTATTTTACTTAAGTGTAAGGCAGTCCTACATTTACACTTCCTTATGATCAACCATGAAAAGAAATGTTGATCAAAACTGCCTAAAACATATTGCCGCAAAATAACCAAATATTGGATACACCCCTCCTCCATCAAATATGTCAAATGCATGTTGACAGTCTGTTTTAAAGGCTACATCAGAAAATTATTTTTTGTCTTTATCTCATTTGGTACCCATTTTTCAACCAATTTTATAATTCCATTTTCCATAGAACTTCTCTGGTGCCATTACCTCATGAATTTTTTTAATTTTTTTTTTTATTTTCTTCTCCAGAAAGAGCTTTATCAAAAGACTATCTCTCCATCTCATGACCACAGGCAAGCTGATGTCATAGATTATTAGTGCATGATTTGTATATTTTAAGTCTCTGGGCTAAATTGGATGATGTCAACTTCTATGTCTGTGGAATAATTCAGTGTAAAAACTTTGCAAATCACTTTTGACATGTTTAAGTATTTTCACAACCTTCTCCATAACCTGCACAAAACTTTTTTTGCACTTGAGCTGCATTTGTATCTTTCTTAAAATAAAAATTAGCTTGTCAGCAGTGCTTAGAATGGTTGCATTTCCTGTAAAAAGTAAGAACTCCACCACAAATGTTCACCATGTTTTTGGTGTTTGCATTCTAGGACATGTCTACCTTCTTTTTTTTTTTCCTTTTTGGGCATTAGTGTTAACAGGGATCCATATCTACCTTGAGAGCTATAGTGTGAATGAGGACCCATGTCTACCTTTCATTATTGGACTTTAGTGTAAGTGGGGCTCTCTATATTTTGGGGGCTCTGGTGTAAATGGGGGCCCCTGTCTTAACTGTTTGGGGTTCTAGTGTAAACATGGCCCTTTTCAAACTTTAGAGACCCCCACCAAAAAAAAAAGGTTGAAAAAAAAAAACCCTGTTTTTAGTAGAGCTGAAAAACTGAAAATGGGGCCCTTTTCAACCTTTTTGGGCTCTAGTGTGAACGGGGCTTTTGTTTACTACTTTGGCGCTTGAGTGAAAATGAGACACTTACCTTTTTTTTTTTTTTTTTTTTTTTTTTTATTGCTTGAATACTTATTGGACATCTAACGGGGCGGGGGGGGCTCTAATGTAAACAGGGCCCCTTTCAACCTTTTGGGCAGCTTGTGTAAATGAGGTCCTTTTTAACCCTTTTTTTTTCTTTATATTTATTTATTTTGGAGGGTCAAGTGTAAACTAGACCCATATGCACTAATCTGTTTATTGTGATTTATATCTTATAAATAACCCAACAAGGGTTGATATGGTGTCATTAACTTAACTCGTTCAACTGAAAATAATCATGTATGCTAGAAATGCCGGCTTATTTCTTTTCATCTGTAATGACAGAATCAATAAGCCAAAAATAGGTCAATTTTGACTTTTTCTTTTTTTTTAAAAAGCACTCTGTGTTGTAACAGCTGTCACCATACAATCAAAACTTTCTGAATGAAATCAGTTAAAACTAAACAATCTTGATGGCATTTACCAACTAAAAACAACAAACCTTTTTCAGTAACTTTATTATAATTATTATAATTAGTATAACAACAAAACTAGTGTTTCACTAAAAGACTGTCAGCTATTGTATTTTTGGCAAATTACACTTATTGTAAACAGTCTTTGTCATTAAAGTGCTCAACATCAGGAAATAGAACCTTTATCTCGTCTTTTCTGTCAGTCACAAAACTTTTTTTTTGCAGTTGAGCTGCATTTGTATCTTTCTTAAAATAAAAATTACCTTGTCAGAAGTGCTTAGAATGGTTGCATCTCCTGTAAAAAGTAAAAACTCCACCACAAATGTTCACCATGTTTTTGGTGTTTGCATTCTAGGACATGTGTACCTTTTTTTTTCTTTTTTTTGGGGTGGGGGTGGCATTAGTGTTAACAAGGATTCATGTCTACCCTGAGAGCTATAGTGTGAACATGTGCCAGTGATGAGAAATTTGATCAAGTTACCAGATAATAGGGCTGAACACAGGGAGAAGTAGATTCATGCCTTTTCTAAGTCTATTTGGTGCCAAGTGAACCTGAGCTGTTTTGACAGAAATTCTTACAGTCTGCTGATTGTCCAGCAACTCATCTTGGAAAATGAAATCTTAATGTCTGCAGGGAAGAAATACACGTGGCTGACACAAATGTCAATTTATCTTAGTTAAATTTTCTTTCTTTTTATTTGAAATGTTTTGTCTTATATTTAACAATTACTCTTATTGAATAAAAATTTTCATAAATTGCTTATTTTTTTTTTTTTTCTTTTCTATTTTCAGTTTGTGAACCCGGAACAGATTGGCTATGTCGGATTTGCCAATCTTCCAAATCAGGTACACAGAAAATCTGTGAAGAAAGGATTTGAATTTACTCTTCTTGTCGTAGGTGAGTGTCTTGATTAATTTACAACCTCCCCCCCCCCCATAAGCATGGTTTCCTACAGTTGTACTGGCTGGGCCAAATCACTGGACAAGGAATGCCAAAACTACATTCATCGGAGGACCTCCCGATTGCACTAGAGTTGATCCTTGATGTCTGCAGCAAGTCAGGAAGGTCTGAAGAATTTCAGGAAAACTTACACTTTTTACCCCCCCAAAAAAAAAAAAAACCTAAAGTCTCTTGCAATATCAAATGGGGTTAGATCCTTGCTATATTAGTAGGGAATATCTTGATGCTATGGACACCCATATGGCGGGAAGAAATTTAGTTTTGTTCTCAAATGTTTCTCTTTGATGGATCAGCAGATGGTTTCTTTTGGGGTTCAGTCTTCTGGGTGGTATTCACTATGGCTGAGGTGGATTGGGGGCGGATCAGGTGACAAGAAGACCGGAAATAAGGTATATCCAGGTGCTGGTTTATGTTAACAGTTGTGCTTGGGGTCAAAGATAGTTCTGTCCCACCCTTGGCAGGAGACAAGTATGTCTGTCATGTGGTTCCTCTCCTGTTCATTTGTGTTGCCAGTGAACATATTAGAAGGAATTGGTAGTACTTGGGACATAGCAGATGTCCCAAGTACCACTTACTTACTCACCACAATGGGCATGCAAAGCTCTGAATGAAACATTTACATATAAAATAGGAAACCGGGTTTGCATTTTTATTTCTTATGTGACATTTTACTTTTTTTCCATTGTGGATTGAGAATCCTTTATCCGAAATTCTTGGGACTGGAAGTGCTTTAGTTTAATGATTTTTTGATCTTTATTTTAGAATTCAGGGTAATTAATATTAATAAATAATTTGTATATAGCATCTAAAAAGGGAACAGTTTGGGAACGGAACCCAAACATGTACCTGGCGTCCTGGGTATGTCAATAAACTGCATCCGCATTCTGGGTAAGACAATGAACTGTGTCCGGCGGCGGGGCCTCTGGTCAGGATGTTTTGAAGGGTGTGGAACTGCCTCTTGGTTGCTGGTGTTACCAGGTCTGCCCTGGCCCGGGGTGGTGGCCCCTGTTGGGGTCTCAGCTATGTGCAAGTGGTTGACTCCACAACCTGACTCAAAGCACTATGAAGGTGTAAAAATAGATTGTAGTATCAGAAATACTTTTGAAAAAAATTAGTATCAGCAATAAATATTTGAAAAAAAGAAAATATTACCAAAAATAAAAATCTTGTCAGCATTGAGGTTAATATGCCACAAAACATACCAAACTATACATTTTAAAAAAAAAATATTACCAGCTATACATTTTTGAAATATTACCAGCTATAAGTTTTTGAAAAAAAAAAATGGAAATTTTGTCAGCATTAAATAACCCATTGTGGTTGATATGCCGTAAAACAAAATGAACCAAACCAAGCCAACCATATACATGATATCCCTTTACATTTCTCACAGCTTATACATAGACCCTGAAGGTAGTTTTATATAAATAACATAGGAGTAGATAGGCTTTCCTATCACTAGGTCTGTACTCCTCCCCCTTGTCTTGAACAAGAGTAGAAACTCATTTCTTGTTTCCTGTTTAAGGTTCACCATTCCTTTCCTTTTCTCAGGCCTTAATAGTGGTGCTGTCATGAATTTTTTGTGGTATGTGTAAATGATGGCAATGTCTCTTCGTACTTAGGGTACCAGGTTGGTAATTTTCTGGTTGCTACTTCCCGACTGGTAGTTAGGAGCCTGATCTCTTGAATAGTGTCTCGAGAGGCTGCTTTGATCAACAGTTGCACAATATCAGGGTTCTTGCAGTGTCATGTTGCGCATGGAAGGGTGTCTCTGCAATCACCTCCAGTGGGCAACCCCGTGGCCACACTATGCTGCAGTCTGTGCCAGTTCTCTTCCCGCACATGTTACATTAGACATCTGACTGCTACTACTACCACCTGTGGAATTGTTTCTCTTCAAAAAGTCTCCTGCGAAACTAATCTTAACTCTGCAATCCTCTCCTCTGACTTCTCGATTCCTAGCGATTGTCTTCTCTTTAAGAAGGACTCTAATGTCCACATGTATGGCCTAAGAGTTTATGTCTGTGAAAATCTCCAGACCATTCTTACATGTGTCTCCATCTCTCTCTACTAAACTCAGTCTGCTATCTCTTCTGTCTCTATCATTCCTCTTTGTCTCATGATTGTTGTATGCTAGATAGTGTTTCTGATAATATAGAAATGGCCATCCCCCTACACCTGTTTGCAATTATATTTGTATTCGGTGACTTTGATAGCCACCGTGCCGAGTGGCGTAAACACTCTGACTTTGTTGGCATCCAAACCCTGAACTTCTCAATCTCTCACACATGTAGTGGGCTTCCTTATATGTTTCCCCAATAACTCTGGTGGACACGCTTCTTTTCTAGATCTCTTTCTTTACCTCTATCCCTGACTTATGTTATAGTATGCAACTCTGCCCTCTTGGCAGCTCAGATCATGCGGTAGTGTCTGTAAACATCTCTTTCTGCTGCCCCACCAGCCAAGAACCTCCTACCAACAGAACATCTTCCTGTTATCAATGAGCGAATTGAGTCTTGTTCTGTGATTTTCTTAGTGACGTTCCTTGGTATGAAATTTTTAATCATCTTGTTCAAAAATTTGTGTCTGAGGTCTCCTCATGGGTGAAAGCCAGCATTGATGCTTTCATTCCAGCAAGGAAATGCCAAGCTAAATCACATTCATCTCCTTGATTCTCCCCTGCATGCTTGGCTACTATAGCCCACAGGTGTCACTTTTTCCGGCTGCACCAGAGCAACATATCTGATTGCAACAGACGTCTCTTTGTCTCTGCTCATAATGAGTACAAGCATGTCCTCAAAGAAGTGAAGTTACTGTTTGCTGATAGAATGAAACAATGCATCGCATCTCGCAAGTCTGGTTCTACAGATTACTGGTGGCTCTGCAAGAGTGTACTGAACAACAGCAAATCCTCAATCTCTCCTCTATTCAATCAATTCTTGGAAATTTTCTTCCAACTCAACACTCCACTGACTTGGAGTACTCACACATGATTTCCCTCCTATAACAGAGGTTCTTCTGAGTGATGGGCACATAACCCTTTCACTAGTCTCATTTCTAAGTTAGACTCCCATAAGGCAAATGGAAGTGACAGGTTCCCAGCTGTCATCCTAAAGAAATGTACTCCTGAGCTGACTCCAGTTCTCTCCAAACTCTACAACTATTGCCTTGCTGTTTCCTGCTTTTATATAAAACTGCTTTCAGGGTATTTTTTAATCATTTCACCCAAGCAAGGCAGGAATGCTGCTATTACAGAGAGTGAAAGTGACAGAAAATACTGAGTATAGGGAGGATTGAGGAAACTAAAGATGAACAGAAGATGGCAATTGACATTGGATTTAAATTTTTGAAGATTGTATTTATCAGAGAGGCAATGAAACTTTTAAAAGAAAGGTTTCTGCCCATAGGTGGGAAGTACAAGAAAAGAAATTGTTGGAGTAGAGGTTGTGGTTGCATTTATCTATTTCAACAGTAAATGGGTGGGATCTAGATGCCAGTCTAGTAGCATGCACCAGGGTGGGAGCTTGTCAGTGCAGTTGTCGTGAAAATATTTGTAGACAGGGAACCATGCCACATCATTGAGAAAGTGACTGAAGTTGAGATACCAAGTCAAATCAATTACATCGCAGATCCTTCTTTGGATTTTGTCAAGAACCTTGAGGTAAATAGCAGGGGCACCAGACCAGATCTAGCAACAGTATTCAATGCCTGGGCAAATGGTAGATTTTCATAGTGAGTCAACTTTCCTTGCAGTAAATGCAGCTATTGATTTGATGTAGTTGCTCCAATTCAAGTCAGTGGAAAACGTGAGGCTGACAAGGCGCAGTGTGTTGCTCTCGGAGGAGTCTTTTGACATGATTGTTTTGTACGACCAGACCACTATCATTGCTTTTGCTGGATCTGGCAGCCATCTTAAAATTAAAGGCTGTGTTTTCTGCTGCAAAACGTCTGACACCGTCTCCCTTCACTCCTTGTGAAAGGGGTGTTGATAGAGCTAAAGCATTATTTTTAGTAACTGTAATAGACAAAAATTGTTGGCAGCTGCAGAGATGTTACCAGGGTCCCCCACCTCATTCATACCTGGGGGATTCTCCATTTCAAAACCCATTCACCAAAATACATCTGGAATTCCTTCTTTTTGTTAATTGTCTGTCTGCAAATGCACTTTACGATATTTAATGGGCGGGGTGCTCAAGCACGCCAGTTGTAATTCTGGATTTGATGTACTCTTGAAATATCAGCAAGCACATGAACAAGGGACTCTTCTGGCAAATTGCATTCTTTTAACTGCAATTTTGGGAAGACCTACAGACTAGTTTCTGAGTTAAGAATCATGAAAATTTGCTGACCCATCTTTGCTGTACAGGAAATTGGCCAGGTTAATTACACTAATTGTAACAGGAAGTTGTTAGAAGTGCTTCCTTTGAGAATATTTTTGTGGGAATCATTTAGAACATTCAATGAATTAAAACTACTGGGCTGTGTCAGAAGTATTTATTTTATTAATCAATACTTTGGAAGAATATGATACATGAATATCTATATATCAAAACAAGGTTAGATAATTGAATGACAAATTAGAAGAAAAAAGATCCTATGTAATATTTCATTCATTAAAAGGACTTCACCAGACTAATGCTCTTATATATATATATATATATATATAAAAAGTGAACATTGAAATCAACACTTAGAGGCAACAGTCTGTTTCATGCTAAACACAATCGTCAGGCCACGATTGTGTTTAGCATGAAAACTACTGTCGGCTCTAAGTGTTGACTTCTGTTGTAGAGTAGTTTTCACAGTGGAGGCTTGTATTTCACTAAGTCGGTCCTAAATTAGGTTCGACGTACAAAACGTTAGGAACTTGAAATAATAGTTAATGACGCAGCAATCTAGTTGTGGGGCTCACACTTTAATGTCCGACATCGACTGAC